AACACTATTAGATATTTCATGTATACGAAAAAATGCTCACGTATATTTCATAATGGCAATTTCGCCATTCGTTACAATCTAATAAAATAATGATGAATACAATATTTACATTTACACTATCCAAATTCTTACGAGTTATAAACGTATCCTTTTTTTTTTCTTGGTTATACTTCATGTCTAGATATTTCCTGTATTTTTTGAGATCCTCTCAATGAATTTCTACTTTGCGTTATTTTTTTATTTCTTGAGAACTCCGCCGTATTATCTTTGTTGTACCTATTGTTAGATTGGCGTGAGTTGGTTCGTTGAGCTGTTTCACTTGCTCGCGATGACAACTTAATCGTCTTTTTGTGTACATCATATAGCATTGCAATTTGATCTCCCTGAAAAAAAAAAACCCCCCCCAAAAAATTAAGAAAATGAGAATTTGTTGTTGAAAATGTAAATCATATGATGATGCTGACCTTCATTTCCATATCATCCATCACACCTTTCATTTCTTCGGCTAAGGCGGTTCTTATGGATTTGCTATCCACAGGATCAATGGCTTGGTACTCATCAACTAGATTACTGTAATATCTAAAAAAATGAAAACAATTTTTCTTAGTAAAACGAATCATAATTGTGAAATTTAAACATGCAACTGACATTTTCAAATGAGCTAATTCATCGGTTAAATTGCATATAACCTTCGTTAATGCTATGTCAGGTGTATCGTGGTTTAAACCAAGTTCTTCGGTATGATGATGTCGAGTATTTGCGCCTGATTTATAAAATAATAAAATGAATCATTATTTTTGAAATTCAATTGCCTGATATGGCTTATGAGCTTTGAAATTTCTGAAAAGGGCGCGACCAATCGCCAATAAAAAGAGGAGAGAAGTGAACCAATTAATGCAATCAGTTGTCTGAAATTGCCCACCCAAAAAGTGTTAATTTAATAGATCACATTACTTACTCTCGTCGGTGTTGTGGTTTTTTTTTTTACATACAGAGCATGAATTCGTATCATGATGTTTCGCCATAGCGAAAGCTTGTTGCAAATCAATAGTGACAGAATCTGATTTTCCAGTACCCTATTATGAATTCGATAAAATCTCAGCAAAAACTACAGAATTGTATACACAAAACTCATGATGATTAAATCATCCGCACAATAAATGGAACTTCACGATGGTCGCCTGATCCTTTGGCATTCCATAGACGTGTTTCGGTAACATCACGAAACCTTTTTTTAAGATAAGATTTTCCGTTTTTTACATCCCTCCATATAGGTTGTTCCTTAAAGTAGAAAATTTGTTATAGCATGAATATTCGACGAAAACCTACGAGAACAATTCTTATTAAGTAGAGCATTGACCTGTCTATTTTGTCTTCCGAAATGATCATTATGTTTGCGTTCCTCTATTCGATCGTCAGAGTCATCAGAAGGATCATTTGAATATCGATCTTTTCGTTCATATCTTGAATGCTTCCTTTTGTTCCCTGTATTGACAAAAGAGTGTTCATCCCTCGTTTCTTGGTATTTGTTAGTGGTCTTAACCTGTTGATCACACTCTTGACTTGAACAACGTGAATTATCCCGCATATTATTAAATTCTTTGTTGTTTCCTGAAGAACCGCAATTTAATTATTCACATGATAGTTCGCATCATCTTGTTTCTTTCCATTAAATGGAGATAAAAGTTACCTGACGACAACTCAGTTTCTCGCTGAGGCTCTTCGCATGGATCTTTGATTTGCTCACAATCTTTAGGATCAATATACCGATTTTCAAATCCCCTACTACTATCTGGTCGCTGAAACACTTGGGGAGCAACATTTCCGTTTTCTTCTATTGAATTCGAATATCTAATCCTCTATCATAATGAGAATTCAGTCAAGTATAAGGTGCTTAAAACGAAACCATCGTCCAAGTTTAACGAACCTCTTGATAAAAATTTTTCTTTAAACGTCTTTTTTCGTGATCATCGTTGGTTTGTTCTGGCTAAGCAATTAAATATAAAATATTGTAATTCGAAATCCTGTACATTACTATTCGAGCAATTGAACTTACATCATAATAAATTTGGTGTCTATCGCTCACTGAACTAGAACCATGTGAACTATTCCGCAAGTTATCGTACCGTTCTTTACTAGAAATTGCGTTTTTTCGACTTTCATTCTTCAAGGTCCTAATGGTCTCATTTTGTTGCGGTTGCGGCGTTAAAGACAATTTCGTCGCTATTGATCTAGGAGAGGATGTGCCCCGAGGTCTAGTTCTCTGATTTTGTGCTGCTGCCTTAAGATCTTCATATTCTTTGTTTATGATAGCAATTTCTTGTTTTGCAATTATCAAAGCTTTCTTTGCTTCATCACGCTCCTCTTCTGCCCTAAGAGTATATTGCCTTGAATATTCCAACTGTCTCTTTAAAGCTTCGTATTTTTTATGCAGAGAGTTCACACGATTTTCGAGTTCTACAAATTTGATACCACACAAAACCTTTTTGATTTTTGTAATCGTAAATCTAAATTCGAATATAATTTGAATGATTAATAAAAACTAAAACCCTACTTTCTTTGTCGACATGATTCTCGTCATCCTTTTCTTTCACTTTGTTCGCACGGCTATCGGCCTCTAAAGATCGTGTCTTGATTTGTTCTTTTTGCAGGAGTTGACGATATTGTTCTATTTCCTTCTCCAATTGATTAATACGTTGATCCGCATTATTTTTATCAATCTCAAGTTTCTTATAATTGTCAGTGAGTGTCCTCAAGGCAGAAAGTGGTCCTATCATAAAATAATAATGATGATAATGAATAATATTACTAAAAATTACATACTAAAATTATTTAGGATAATCTTCACCTTGAGTACTAGTCCCACCAAGGTTACTCATACGTCTATATTGCCGATTATCTCCAATTGATAAAGAAACATTTGGTAATTGGAATGATTTCATTGAAATCGATGGTGTGACTTGTTCGTCTGTAAGCACAACTCGAGGTTTAGATGAACCATTTGAATTTTTGAGTGAAGTTGGTTGTAAATGTTGTTCCTGAAGGAAAATCTGTTTCTTTTGTTGTTCCTGACGCGCATTTTCCAAAAGCGAAAGTTCTTTTTGGCGTTGTCTCATCATTTGAAACTGACGTTCCTTATCTTTGCGCAATTGCTCATCATTTTCTTCTGGTTGTTCTCGTCTTTCTATTTCTTCTTTTTGTTTTTTTTCTCTCCGTATTAATTGATACTCCTTTTCTTTTTGAAATTGTTGTGATTTTTTTTCCTCTCGACGCAAATGTTCTTGTTCTCTTTGCTGCTGCCTATTTTCTTGTCGTAATTGTTCTTCATGCTGTTGTTTTATTGGTGTTTGAAATTGATAATCTCTTTCAGGCTGTAATTGTTCTTTCCTGGTCATATCTTCTTGTTCGTCAGGTTCCCTTTGTTGCGGTTGTGCATGAAAATTTTTTTGGTGCAATCCCTGAATTTGTATTTGTCGATCTTGTTCCTGATAGAATTTCTGATCATTTGTAACTTGTAATTCATCCTCTTCCTCGCGATCCATCTGTTCTTCATGCAGTTGATTTCCTTTTCCTTGATAAAATTGTATATTGTATTGTGGAATATCCTTTAATTGTTTCTGAACGATCTTATTGGAAACTTCTCGTTGGCACGTTTTTTCCGTTTGTAATTCATCTTGTCTCGGTGATGGATAAATTTTTCGATGCTCTGAATGCATTACGACGGGTAAATGTCGTTTTTTAGTACTTCGCAAATAATTTAAAGAAAGATCATCATCGTCAAACACACTCGCTTCCCCAACAATATCCAGAAACTCTTGTCGACTCGACCCCCTAAGTTCTGTGATATCGAATTTGCTAGTCGGATCAAAATTTGGTGAGCCATATGTGTTTAATTTGAAATCACCATCCAAATTAGTGTAATCGTTTCCCTGTGTATTGTCCTCCTCTCCCGAAGAGTACTCGACGTCGTGTAATTCATTCGCATTTAATTCTTCCCCGGTTGCTTCTTCAGAGGCGTTGAGGGAAATTCCTTCTAGTTGTTCATAAAACTCGGCATCGTATCCGTCATGCACGTCTGCATCACTATTGTCAATGCCAGGTGGTGAGAAGGTGCTCGTCGTCGGCTCAAGTTCGTTTAACGCTTTATTCATAGTAATATACTGTATTTCGATCAAGCCCTCGACGTAACGTGTTAATGCGTTTATTATACATATTATACATGCTCATCACCTGATCTGCGTTCCCGTGCAGCATCTTTAAGACACGCGTCCGTATATTTAAAAGAATAATAATGAAGTTATAGAATAGTTGAAGTTGTAAAGATATACAGTAAGTAATATTATTGAAAATTTAAAATAAGATGATGAAAATGAGGAAAATAATGGCAATCAAGAAGCTCAAAGCATAAACAATTAATAAATAAATTTTCACTCT